CTCGCTAGTTTTCGGGAAAGGTATCGTTGGGAATAGAACGGTTAGATCACCATCAGTAGTAAGCATGGGTTTTCAGCAGAGTAGCCAGGGGATGGTAGGGAGAATTGGGAATTCTTCCAAGCTGTGAGTTGTGAGGAGCTAGTCAAGTCGAAGTGGGGGAGAGCCACCCGAGTGGCTAAGGGAAGGAGTAAGTGCAAGACTGGGATGGTTTCGCAGTCTTGGTGAGGAAGAAGGCAGCTCAAGTGGTTGTTTGGATGGAGGAGCACGTGAGCGGGGAGTTGGGGGAAAACTTCCTGAAGTTGAGTTCGTATATGCACGATTAGCTGATGACTGGATGGGAAACTCGGCTAGAGATTTTTCCGTCAGAACAGGAGACGGTCGAGTGGTCGTCTTGATTGAGGATTGGATGAGTTGGGAGTTCAGAAAACATTCCAACATTTGGTTTACGCTTTTCCTTGGCGTTGGGAAGCAGGTTTCAGGAACCAGGTTAGAGCCCCAGTTAAGACCCAAGTGTAGTTGATTGTTACGTCGAGTGAGTGTTCGACATAGTGTTAGAGTGTTATAAGTCTGCGGGTGTAGCCGTAGCATTCCTTAGTAGCCAGATAGTGTTAGAGTGTTGTAAGTCTGCGGGTGTAGCCGTAGCATTCACTAGTAGCCAGATAGTGTTAGAGTATTGTAAGTCTGCGGGTGTAGCCGTAGCATTCACTAGCAGCCAAATAGTGTGAGAATGTGTTGTAAGTCTGCCGGGGGGGGGTATACGTAGCATTCACTAGCAGCCAGAGAGTGTTAAAGTGTGGTAAGACTGTGGGATAGCCGCAAGATTTGTTAGTAACTAGTTAGAGGAGTGTGGGTGAGGGCCCGTATCTCCTAGTTAGTGGAGTGTGGGCGAGGCCCGTATCTCCTAGTCAGCCTGATTGAGATCGAGAAATGATAGTTCGTTGAGGATTCAGGATGGTTTAGGACCCGCGCAGCCCTAGATAGGTGGGATCGGGGGCAAGGCCGCTCTAAGATATAGTTTGGGTGAGACCCGTGGGCGAGGCCCGTGAGATTTTAGCGGCGTAGGTGGGACCTGGTAGAGACCTTAGAGTCAATATAGGGGATCGAGGATCCCAGGATTTAGAGAGCCACGGTGGCAAGGTAGACAGACCAGTTTTAGTTAGCCGAAGTTTCCTTCGGAAGTCGCTGAGAGCGACTGAGAGATGGAGTTTGAGTTCAATAACCGGTAGGAGTCCGGTAGTCAAGGTAATGGCAGATAAGTTGGGACCAGGGTGGCCTCGGTTCATCTGGAGAGCGGATCAGAGACAGCAGAATCTTCGGACAGGGACATCAATAAGAGGATCGGTGAGTGGAAGTAGTTAGTTGACTGAGAGGTGCTAGGCCACTAACAGCAGGATTAAATAATCTCAGAGTGAGTGATTTGACTCTGTTACGCAGCTCTCGTATGAGTCTAACCGTTGCAGGGATAAGTCTATTACTCGAAGGATTATCTGATGTATCCGTTGGGAGGGGTTTCCAGCATCAGTATATAGAAAGAGAAAGCACTCAGTATGTATCAGCGAAGTGACCAGCACTGGGAGTGGCTGGGAAGGTAGATACATCGAAGGTATGTCCTTCACAGAGATTGGAGAAGGAGTTGATTGTGTACTGTTGCATTGGGAAGGCCGTAGCGGCACAGAGTTAAGGGGTGAGCCCCTAAGATGTCCAGCATAAGTACTCGAGGAGTACCGAAAGGATTATCAGTTGGGAAAGAGTCGTGTTCTCAGGATTGTTGGTGAGCAGAGTGCTCTCGAGGTTCTTATCTTCAAGGATTAGTTTTGGCTGAATGATTGGGCGGAAGGTCAATGAAGGTGATCCCTCGAGGATCGGACTCAGTAGGAGATGAATTCACCGGGAAGAAATGTTGTGAGCAGATTGCAAGATTATTGGCCGTAGCGGACTTCGAGGACGAAGTCTAGTTTAAGTGGGGGAGAGTTGTAACACCCCAAATTCAGAAGATCCTTGAAAAGGAAGAAAACCTCAAATGAGGAAGTGATTCGTCGAGTAGATGGGTGAGTCGACGAGCAGGAGCGCGATTTGGTCGCGGGTTTAGTGACCTACTCGACGAGTCTGAAGACTGACTCGGCGAGTTGGCCAGGTTTGGGGAAAACCCTAAATGCGGGCCTTGTACCCTATTTAAGGAACATTATATCCTTCATCAGCCCCCTTGATACTCTCTCAAGTCCAGAACGAAAACCCTAGAGCCTCCCCTTGAGTTGTGAGTCATTTTGAGAGTTTTGGAGCATTGTTGAAGCTTGGAGGATCAAGAAGAAGGTTGGAGGTTCAAGGAGGAAGGAGTAGATCCAGAAGATTCACTCCATTTGCTGCTCATTTTGGTAATCAAGTTCATTCCTTGACTTCTAGTTTTTTAGATCTCTTTATGTCCCTTTTTATGAAGTTTATGGACCAAGGGTGATTTCTTGTGGGATTTGGACGTCCCCAAGCCAGATCCTTTCAGATCTAGGAGTGTCTTGAGTAGTAAAAGCATAAAGGTGGAAGCTTTATGCTATTAGAACTCCCCATGCCAAGTTTAAGGAGTTGTTTTGGCCATTTGAGAAAAAGGGCCATGTATGGGTGCAAAGGTAGTGGCTTTGTGTGATATCCTGACCCTAGGAGGCTAGATCTGGATCTTGGATGCCTTGAGCTTGTCTGAAATCGTCTGGATAGAGTTGGACATAGAGAGACTCGGCGAGTCATTTGTGGGACTCGGCGAGTCAGGCCAGTTATTGCCCCAAGACCCTTCTGTTAAAGGGTATGAGTTGAATGGCTAGGGACTCAGCCAGTCTGAGTGCATAGTGGTCATGAAGTTCATCATACTCGACGAGTGCAAGGAAGAACTCGGCGAGTCTAAGGCAATCTCCTTAGTTTATGAGTATGGACTCGACGAGTTGTTTATACAACTCGGCGAGTCACAGCCTAGACACATTCTTATGTGGATGATAAACTCGACGAGTTCAAGGTCGAACTCGGCGAGTCGGATGAAGATGGTCCCGATTGTATGGTTGAAAGAGAACCCGTCGAGTCCTTGCTAAACTCGACGAGTGGAGTCGGGGTTGTATGGGGTTGGAGGAGTATGGACTCGACGAGTTGGTAGACCAACTCAGTGAGTCAAGTCAGCTGGAGGTTGACTTTGACCAAGTTTGACCAGGGTTGACTTTTGGAATATTGTGGTCTAAATGTTACTTTGGGTATTGATAGTTCGGGGAGCCGAAGGATCAGCAGTTCAGAAGTTGCCGGTTAGCAGTCAAAAGTGTTCAGCTAGTCTTCAGCGGTGCGAGGTGAGCTTCCTCCTTTAGGAACGGGTCTACGGCCACAATGCCGGCCCGTTTAGATATAGTAATTCCGGATTTCGGTCTGATGCCGGGGTGGTCCCAAGAATTAGTATGTATGCCTGATGTCTTTGTGATTCATGCATGTTTATGTTATGTGCTTTGTGTTCCGGACTTCGGTCCGATGCCGGGCAAGCCCGATGCAGTAGTTATATGTTTATGTTACATGTTTATGTATATGTTATGTTCAGTTATTCCGGATTTTGGTCCGATGTAGTGGGCAAGGCCCGAGTTATTTCAGACTTCGGTCTGATGCAGTGGGAAAGGCCCGAGTTATTCCGGACTTCGGTCCGATGCAGTGGGCAAAGCCCGAGTTATTCCGGACTTCGGTCCGATGTAGTGGGCAAGGCCCAAGTTATTCCGGACTTCGGTCCGATGCAGTGGGCAAGACCCAAGTTATTCCGGACTTCGGTCCGATGCAGCGGGCAAGGCCCAATATGTGCTTTATGTGTTATTGTATGGTATGTGGTAGGTTGGGGAACTCACTAAGCTTCGTGCTTACGGTTTTCAGTTTTGGTTTCAGGTACTTCTGATAGCGGAGGGAAGTGCTCGGAATGATCGCAAGGGACACACCAAAGAAGTTTAGCCTGGGATGTTTATTCTGATAAAATGAACAAGTGTTTTGAAAAGATACTCCGATTTGTTATATAACCCTTTTAGTATGTTTGAAATGATTTGATACTATGATTTAGTAATGTTTTAAAAAGAAATTTTTGGTCATGATTTTTGGGATGTTACAATTCGACTAAGGGTTGGTTTTGGTTTGGCTTTAGGAAGCTTGGGTTGGTTGTTTCGAGGTAGTTGTTGAACATATGTCAAGTGGTTCAGGTGGATTTTCATCATTGTATTCGTGTTATTCGTGTTTGACATGATTTTATTGCATCGTGCTCATGTTAACAAAAAAAAAACACGCAATCTTGTCATGTCATGTCCTGGTTAAAAATAAATAAATTGTGTCATGTTGTGTTAGTAAAAAACACAAACAATCACCCGACTTGTCACCCATATTGAAACCACAAGATGGTCATTACAGTATATCTCACATTTCGATAAATCAAAATTAAAAAACATAAAATGTATATTTACCCTAAATGAAATTTTCGTTTCCCCCTAAAATATTTTCTTAATTAATCTAAATTTCCCTCTTAATATAATTATTTTCTATTTAAATTTCCCTCCGATAAACAAAATAATTTGATTTCCCTCTACTCAAACTACATATTTTCCAATTTTGACCCTAAAATATTTTCTTAATTAATCTAAATTTCCCTCTTAATATAATTATTTTCTATTTAAATTTCCCTCCGATAAACAAAATAATTTGATTTCCCTCTACTCAAACTACATATTTTCCAATTTTGACCCTAAAATATTTTCTTAATTAATCTAAATTTCCTCTTAATATAATTATTTTCTATTTAAATTTCCCTCCTATAAACAAAATAATTTGATTTCCCTCTACTCAATCTACATATTTTCCAATTTTGACCCTAAAATATTTTCTTAATTAATCTAAATTTCCCTCTTAATATAATTATTTTCTATTTAAATTTCCCTCCTCCGATAAACAAAATAATTTGATTTCCCTCTACTCAAACTACATATTTTCCAATTTTGACCTTTCAACAAGTACATATGAATAACCAGCCGTCGACAACAAAACAACTCCTCTCGGTTCTTGCCTCTAACCTCTTCGACGTCTCCAAATGTCGGTCCTCTTGGACGTCGCTCACCGCTGGCACGAGCAGGCCCCGACGTCGCACACTCCTATCTGCCACCATCGCGATGCCGACTCGTCTAGCAATGCTTTGGCCCTCCTCTGCATCTGAACGGTAAGAAATATGCTTTGAACTTTGGTTTTGTTTTGTTGTCGAGTTCTACATCTGAACAGTGAAGGTGTTGTTTCTATTTTTTTTTATCACTTTGAACTTCAATTTTCTTTGTTTTGTTATGAACAATCGACGTATGGTGCCAATGATTGTTGGGTTTGTCGGAATTGAAGAAGGACAACCCCCAAATCAATTTCTTGTATGTGATTGATCATTATGAATGTAACCTTTCGAACCCTAACAAATTTCAGATTTGGATTGGGTTTTAATTGTTGATGTATGTATAAATTTTGATAAAACTTGTTATTAGGAGCATCAGTTTCAGTTTCTTTGCCTATAACCTGAGTTGAACAAAATTTGTATATGTAGTTTCACATGCACCCTATGTGTTTGATAAAATGTTTGTTTGAAATCATGAAACAAGAATAATAAGAAATTAATATGTACTTATCTGGTAATATTCTCTCTTAAAATGTTTGTTGTGGGTGAATCATCAATTTCAATTTCTTGGTCTATACTCTGATGTAGAAATTATATGCATAAAATCTGATATGATTTTCTTGAAATCTGATCTGAAATCTGATATGTTTGAAAATATGATGTTGAAATCATATGACTGAAAATCTGATGCTAAAATAGTATGCTTAAAATCTGGTCTGATTTGCTGAAAGTCTACATTTGTTTTTCTGAAGATGTGCAGGCCTTGTTGGATGAAATGGAAGCTCAAGGAATTTCATGGAAAGGTTTCAAATTATGATTTATTTAAGTTTTTTACCTTTATTGTTATTGTAGTTGTTGTTGATGAGCAAATGGCTTAACAAGAGAGGTAGACAAAGAAACATATTTTGTAGTAGAGCATGACATGGAGTGGTTTGTTTTGTGTTAAGTGTGTGTGCTTGTTATAATACTTGAAAAAGTACATATGATAATGGTCCATAATAGATACTTTAGTACTTGTGTCCTAGGCTCTACAAGAAGACCGCAGAGGCATTCAAGGGCATTGTGGTCCAATAAATGCTTTGGCTTTCAATCCTAATAGGAAAAGGTAAATTTTTTTATCTAAGAGAATTGAAAAGTTGAAAGGATGTCAATGAGACAAAGGTTGTAGCTTTGTAGGTGACATAGAGACTTGCTTTAGATCTTATGTCTGTGCAAAAGGCATATGTTCATAACCTTTTTACTAACTTTTATTTGTTTATGCTTAGTGGTCATTCTCTCTTAAAATAATGTAGTTTCTCAAGTGGTGGTGAAGAGAGTCACGAGAGGATGCATTACTTTGATCCTGACTACTTCAAGATTTCATTAATTTGATTAGAGACACTCGCTAAAACATCAAGAATTACATTATTATAAACATCTTGTAAGGCGAAAACATGGGACATACTTTCTCATTTGATTTTTTTTAGTAGGGTGAAAGATTTTTTAAATTTGGTTCAATTTATCAGTGCTTGGGTTTAAGTGCTACTAATATAACATCTAGGCTTGTTAAACATTTTTGAATACATTTTATTTTAAATGTTGAGAATACCTTGTTAGACAAGTTAGATTTTATTTCAAAGTCATGACATTATGTTTTCCATTTATTATCGTCAAAGTCAATTCATCATATTTTGACACACATAATAAAAGACACCTAACCATAAACCACTAAAAGTAACTTGTTTTCTTGCTTTTACTAAGTCACTAGTACACGACACCCTATGGACACACAAATATATAATGTCGCCATATGTATCACATGTTAGCTACATTGGATTTCATGTGTCTAAATATGCATCATGATACAGAAACACATACAATTGCCTCATGTCACTATATATTTATCTATTGTCTCTTATAAATAAAGTATCATAATGTTTATCTGTAAACATGGCTGATAGTGACATATGGCCACAATGATCGATTGTGGCTAATAATTATCACATTTAGTATAACTAAGTGTGGTTAAAGTTTTGATTATCTATACAATGGCCACACAAACTAATTTAAATGTATCCGAAAACAGTTCCTAAATTATTTTATTGAACTTTGGCCTCAGTTTTAATAAAAAGTGTGACAGACCGTTTTTCGAAAAGTGTGACTGTAGGCCATTTTTGTACTAGTGTCACTCAAAATGGAGGCTAGGGTTTCGTTCTTAGGGTGAGAGAGCATGGAGGCTGAATAATGGAAGAGGTTTGGGTCCATAATGATGCTTATAAGGGGTCCAAACCCTAGAAACGAGCTTTTGAACCTGCCCAGTGAACACACTGCGTTCCTACCTAGACCCGCGACCATTTTCCTTAAACGCTATGTGTTCCCATCGGGTACGCCCCGCGTACCTGGTTCGGCCCAAAACCCTTCTGACTTCAAATGGTCATAACTTTTGCGTCCTTTATCCGTTTTCGACGTTCTTTATATCCACGGAAAGGTAACGAGAAGCCCTACACTTCTATGAACTTTATTTAGCCTGAAAACCAACCGAACTTAAATCCAAAATTCATAAAAGCCCCGAACCAACGCCTTTACCGATACCCTTGGGCTCCAAAACACAAACCAAATACCTGGATCATCAAAAATACATTATCCACATACAAATGAGCCCAAACTCAATTATTCAACGGTTCTATGTCTGCTAATACCCACTCCTTGATCACCACCCTGCAATGGGAACGATTTGAAACAGGGCGTTACATCAAGGGCTACAAACCAATTAAGAAATGTACCAATGAATTCAAACCAGGTGTTCTCATGCTATCTTACTCAGTTCATATACACCTCCTCATGACCATATTTGATGAGCTACCACAATATACCTCCCCAAAGGGAACCACATATCCATCTCTATATCTATTGTATTCCTTCTTCCCCACAACCTTACCCAAAGGGTGAAGTGTCAGTAGATCTAATGAAATAATGATCCTCAAACGTTATCAGAAACATCCTTATAAACGACCGAACCTGATCCCACACCTTGGTTGAAACTGAACATATTCCACCAATACGTAACTAGCTCGAGAAGAATTCCAAGGTGATCTAGAAATGCTGCCAAAACTTTAGTCGGATCAACCACACTACAAATCCTACCGACACAACATGCCAAAATTAGATTCTTCGCAGATCAAAGTCACACCTGGAAAGTTAAACAACTCTGCCCCAACATACGAACTTCCAATAACCAAGGACAACTGCCAAACTTAAGTCTGATATGAACCAAAATCCCACACCACAATTGAGGGTAAACATACCCATAAAACAAAGAAAATATAAAACATACGAAACTTGAAGATAGGTTGACGCATCCATTGAACTTCAACTGACATAACTCGAAACTTTCGAAGAACCTCCACTTTTGACGATGAACGAAATGACCAACGATCGAGAATGCATTGACAACTAACCCAAAAAAACCAATACATTACTGAACAAAACCCATGTGAAAATAAGCATACTAAACTCTAAAGCTGATTTACCGATCAATAACTGCCCACCCTAGATCATGGATAGCAATCTATACAACGTGTTGAAAAATCCCTCAACACTCGATGCTCAACCTGAGCGTCCCAAACGCATCTTGATCTATTTAGCGACATTATGAAAGGAACCACTGGCTACGAAATGCTCCTTATACAAAATCTTCTTGCCGCGAAGACGACTCTTGTATTACTGAACACATACATCTGATGATAACTTGCTCTGTACCTCCGTCCTGACCAAATCCTGAAACAAGTCCCGCATACCCGAACCGCAAATCCCTAAGACTCATTCTTCTGAAATAGCCAGTTCTCCCCCACATAGGGTTCGAACTACCACCAAATGACGTTGCAGACAAACCACATCTCAAACCGGTTCAACCGGATGCGTACCATCCCCGAATCTTTAGAATATATAACACAACATAAGTTGGTCTTCCAGATAAGGACCAAACGAACTCAAAGTTATTCCGAATCTCAGACGGAGACCTCGAAAACCTCCCAATCATAACCGCCTCTAACATCAGAATCCCATGCAGGTGCACAAACAATAATTTTTCCCACTCATGACACCGATTCTCCATCTAGAAACAAATGAACTACCACACACCCCACCTAATTCCCCAAAAACCAATTCATCGTGAGCATTACTCATAAATATAAGAAACATCATTCTCTTAGTCAGGATACATCAGAGACAACAAAAGTTGCTCTTAATGATTCACTTCCCTTGGTTCCTGAAACAATCAACTAGCACTTGACCTAACTAAATTCAAGAAAGCAGACCCCTGATCTCATCTCAAGGAAACCATACTACAAAATCCTTTTGTGCATTCCTACGCTTCCATACCTGTCGATAAAGAAAACCACAATCTTCTAGACTTATGTCGGGACTACATCCCAACTTTGAAAATCACATGTCTACTCTCTCTTTCCTTCGAACTCGGAAAGCTAGAAGTACATAACCCTTGTTGATGACAGTGACATCCCAATCCATCTAACAATCACTTAACCTCCGACTGCAATCCACGAGCCATTCATCACAATCGCTTCCTTCTTGAGTCCCGCAACTCAACTGTCACTACTTGAGCAAGGCCCTCCAGACCTTGAAATAAACTATCTCTCATGGGTCTGCACCATTGAAACCCAACAGACATGGCCACTAAGGCCCAAATAATCATCTGGCTCATCGTCAGCCTGGACGACCATACCCGATAAACCGATAAAGGCAAAAATACATTACAACGAATCATGGTGCCAAACCATGACATATTCCTTAACCAGTTCCTTAGAATCCCCCAAATTTTCCTTGAGTCGAGTATGGATTCAGTGCTTCCAGTAGTACGGGCCCAATACTACCTTCCAGACCTATCCATACTTTCCTCAGCAATCATCTCAGATCCTCTAAGTCACTACTCATGTCCACATCTGTCCTATCCATTCTTATACACCCGTTCTCAAACGAATATCCATCGCTAACCAGCGCAAGCCAACCCACTACAGCACATCCTAGGCTCTCCTAGGTTCCCGACCTCACCCTGCCATCAGCTGCTGAAGAACTCCCAATAATGCCAGTTAACTACTTCATGAATACAATCACATGAAATAAAACTTAGATAATCCTTCAAGTAAAAGACTCATCCCTACAACGGTTAGACTCAAACAAGAGCTGCGCAGTAGGGTCAAATCCGTCACTCTAAGATTATTTAACCTATGCAACATGTGACTTAACATATTCACTTAATAGTTAACTCACATCATCAAGGGTCCCACAAAGCACAAAGCAAGCAACATTCGTGCAATAACACTCCAAGCCACAACCAAGCAAAGGACATCTCACCCTCACTTCCTACCAAGAAAGATTCCAAATCTAGTAAAACATCCAATTCCTCTTAGGCTACAAGGCATCACATATCAGGCTAATCCATAAAATCATCTGAAATCCATACTAGCATGCAATTCTAAACGCTCAAACAATCAGGTATATAAAGGCATCTCTCCTAGCATGAAATCCTGAGCATATCCTAAGCCCTAATCTAGCATACAGTTCTCAGAACATATAACATAAGAAACATGTATGGGTATTCTGGGAATCACTTACTTGAGCTCGGACGATTGCATGCATCACACCCCTTTCTTTTATTTGAGACTTGTGCTAACACATTAAAAGTGTACTTTATGGTTCCTAATGGACCATGAAAAGTGTAACATCGTAAATTCCAAAACAATTTTTACTTTTAAAAATAAAATTTCATTCATAAATATTATCAATCTCCCTGTATCACATATCAAATCCATAAAATTCATCCCAAGATCACAATACATAAAAACTCCACAAGTGTGTACTGATCATGCCGACGCCTTCCCGTGATCCTCACTGGTACCTGAAACACATAACACAAAACACTGTAAGCATAAATGCTTAGTGAGTTCCCCAAAATACCACATATAACACATATTAGCCAGTCGAAGCTATAACTCTGTGGGCCCACTGGCCCTAACTCTGTGGACCCTCTGGTCCTAACTCTGTGGACCTTCCGGTCCTAACTCTGTAAACTCTGGAATACACACAGCATAAATCACATAGAAATAATGCAGCGCAACACATCACATACATAGCATACAAGATACTCTGTCACATAACTCTACTTACCACTCAAGGTAAACTATAGTGAGAAGACTCACCTTGGATAGCTCGGTAAACCTCGAACTCGGAAATACTGATCTAGCCTTCGCCTAATCACATAAAATAATTACTCTAATTAATACGATTTTCAAAGACTAGGCTAATCCCTCTCTAAGTTCTCTAAGAAGGGTTAAAGACCATTCTACCCCTCCAATGGCTCACAAGTCCAAACATTGACTCAACCCTAAAAGTCAACGAAGTCAACTCTAGTCAACGGTCAAACTTTGACCAGACTCGTCGAGTGCATCCGGGCGACTCGGCGAGTCCACGCGGGTCCTCTGAATCCTTCTAAGCCTCACTTGGCACGTCGAGT